CCATTCGCTCCCATGCTGCATGCTGGTTTTCGAGCCAAGGCTGATCCCAGCCAGCTGGTGCCAGTTCACAGCAAGGCCGGGCTGCACCCTCTTTGCGTGGGGGGAGAGGAATTTCTCCCTCGTCTCACCTCCTTCCCAGGGCCGGCCACCCTTCCCATTCCCCAGCCTCGTCCTCGCCAGCACCCACCAGCGCAAGAAAAACAGTCGCGGCCTTTGAGGGAGGCACGGACCCGGCGCCACGCTCGCGAACCCACGGGGCGGCCCAGGCACCATGCGCAGCACGTGACCGCCTCGGCCGGCGATGGACGGACCACGCGAGCTGCAGGCACAGCGCAGCAGCGCAAAGGCTGCAGAGCCCCAAGGTGACGGGAGCCGGGAAAGGGCAGGCCACACGGCTTCTGGGGGGTCATCGGGCAAAGGGCTGGCTGTAACTCTGCACACAACCAGGCTTTTGCCTTGCTGAAGAGCTCTTTTTACTCCTGGAAGGAGGATGCGTATCCTGCAGACCGCTGGTGTCGAGCATCCCTGCTTCCATCCTGCCACAAACGCCCTGAGCAATGTTTGCAGCAGCCTCACTCGGGTTCGCTTCATCCTTCCGCATGGCGTTACACCTCTCGGCAGGGGAAGGTGAAAGGCATGCGATCGCAGCCAACCTTGCTCCTCTTCGCAGGCTGCTGCCTGGTCCAGCTGTCTGGCTAATTGTACCGCAGCTTTGGATTAGCCGAGATCTTTCCCTGCGTCATGCGACAAGCTGGAGTGGGCATTGCATCGCCCTCTCCACCATGGGCTCAGGACAACGGGCAGCTGTGTAAAACGTATCCTCCTCTATGGCGACAGTGGGACGCGGAGTGCAGCGCCCTGAGCGCGAGGCCAGCAGAGGCGGAGGCAGCAGGGGCAGCCCCGCATGGGTACCTGCTCCGAGGGGATACGTCACTGCCCTGCACCCCAAACCTTCCCCCCTCCCCAGCACCACGGAGGGGAGGCAGCACGGCTCCAGCACACCTGCATATTACATCCCTGCCAGCTGGAGGAGGCAGGAGATGAGAAAGGGAGATTCCCCCATAGTGCCGGCTTTCCCTCAGCACATGGGGTCACACTACCAGCAAGCCAACACCGGGGCCTGGGCTGCAGCAGTAGCACGTTTCAGCACCATGTCAGTCAGTCACCAGCTTAAAGACGCTGTAGGAAGAAGAGCAAGATGTTCAGACATGCAGGGAGGAGTTGCAGCTACCTGCAGCATCTCTCTGCCCTTGTCCTTCCTGATCCAGCTGGAAATCTTCCTCCAGGCGACCCACTGCTGCCTCTCTTCTGTGCTACAGAGCCTCGCAGGCAGGCTGGGAAGGGGCAAGGCTCTGGGGTGCACCAGGCACCTCTCCTTCCCACAGCTGCTGCTTTGCAGGGACACAGCTCCATTTGCTGGTCAGGTCCCCTTGGGGCTCAGCTGGGAGCTCTAAATTTTTTTTTGTCACAGTAAAACCCAAGAGGGAGAGATCTCCTTGACTCCTGTCTCTTCCAGAGCTGTTCTTGTTCATAGCTGAATAGAAAAGCTCTATTTTGGACATGATTTAAACATCCAGAACCTACAGAAATTAAGGTTCAAATACAAATGAAGTGAACTCTTATTTTCAGTTTGCAGCCTCAAGATTTTGGCTGTCTCCTCTGCTCTAGATGGAAAGTCCTGAAAGCGTCTGCAGGACAGATCACGGGCCACACGTAAACCCCGGGAAGAGCTGACGACACAGCCGCTTTGCAGTACGCAGAGCCCCCAGCTCCCCCAGGAACAGGCAAGAGCTGTTGCTTCATCTTGTGCTCCTCCAGCCCAGGGTCTTCCTCATGGCTGCTTTGACAGCAGGCTGGGCGAGATCTGCAGCACGGCTGGCGCTTGCCTACGCTCTGAGCAACCCTGCCTACATCCAGGCTCCGACCACAACTAAACTTGGGGGCCAGGGGAGGGACTCTGCCGACTCCTGCACCCCAGAACGGTCGCTCGCTGCAACATGGCAAACGGCCAGAGTCGCGCTAGAGCGAACCAGGCGAGATGCCAGGGCAGCGCCTGGCGCGTGCGCTCACAAGGTAACGGCCTCGCTGGCTGCTGGGGAGGGGACACTGCTCTCCCGGGCATGCTGACACAAAGCGTCCAGGCAGAGAGCACCAGCAGTACAAGATGGTCACGGTACCCAGATTCGTTGAACGCTTGTTTGCAGGCTACAGTCAGACGCTTCCACACCACGGCTTACAAGTCTCCGTGCCTACAGATATTAGATGACTATGACTACACAAGCTCCGACTTACTCTGAGGGGAACAGGCTGTGGCAGGAGCCAGGCCTGCAGGGGTGAAGCTTTGGAAACCAAAGGGCACATCAGCTGCAGGAAGCAAAGCCGCTGGCAGGGAGCAGACCAGCGAGATGGTGCTGTGGGATCGGCCATTTCCTGCGCAGAGCGGGCACACCTCCCTGGCAGACAGCCCGGAGGCCTGCCTGGGGCTGGCACAAGGGCGTTTGCTCAGCACGAAGCCAGAAACTTACCACTTCCCGGTGGCATTTCTTGATGTCTTCATCCTTCAGGGCTTCGTTCAGGTGGAGGCTGCAAGAAAGAATTGGGTGAGCCAAGAGCCTCAGGTCCCTCACCCGCTCCCCAATCCAGGCAGGACACGAGCACAGAGAAATGCCACAGCACTGATGCTCAGGAGACCCCGGGGCTCCTTGCCGCACTCACAACACGCACTCTGGGAAGTCACGTTCTAGACTAGCCTGGTGCTACAATAAACTGCTGAGACACATAGGGACGTTGCTGAGGTCAAATAACGGCTGCAAGAGCTCCTGCTTTAGGAAAAGGCTCATCACTACCTGGCAGCAAGCTGTTTGTGAGCTGGCTGAGCCGGTCTGCACCACAGCTTGGAGATACAGCCCGCATCACTGCCTGAGTACCCATACCCAGGCAGCTGGGGTGGCCCACAACACAAATTCACCCCAGGCGTCAGGGGAGCAGGTCCAGAGCTGCCTCCAGGATGTGCCACAGCAGCAACGGAGCTGCTGAGGACAGGTTAGGAGCCAGCAATGGACAGTTCAGGCCAGGTCAGGTTTCCCCAGAGCCCCAGCCAGGCAGGGCCATGGGCAGCACAGCCGAATGGGCGTTTGGGAACCTGCCCGGGCAGGAGCTAGGCAAGAGGGCAGCCCTGCCTAGCCCCGACAGCGCGGGGAGGGTGTGCACCAGGGGCACGCCAAGAGGGCACGTCCCCACCAAATACCATGCTGCCCGGTCCTGCCACCTCCTACTCCTCACGCTTCAGCCTCCTGCCCAGCCCCACCAGGAATTCACTGGCACACACGGGCAGGGGCCCCGCAAGCCACCCTGGGGCTGGCTGAAAGCAGAGCCGTGCACACGGGGACAGCCAGTGCCAGGCCGGGGAGAGCTGACCACGCTCCCATCATTCCTCCGGACAGGGGGACACAGCAGACACGTGCAGGGCTGCAGCATTCGCCCTTCATCCCATCAACAACTCTGCCTGCCTGGAGGCATCCCTCCCGTTCAGGCATGACGGTAGGAGACATGCACAAAGCATCTAGCTGCATCCATCAGACAGGATGTTACAGCAGATGGACCAGGAGGATGAGGAAAACAATCAGAGACAGGCAGTGAAATCACCCCCGCCAGCATCTCAGCAGTAGGAACATTGTACCCCTTCCCCAAACACCTCTCCCCAGCATTTTTGTAGACCAAATATTCGATGCTGAAGACAAATAAGGGACCCTCTGTGCCTACTCTACAGGAGCCTTCTACCTGATAGGTTGCATTTGGGTCCCAGAGGCAGAGGGGATCCTGGAGGATGTCACAACATGAAGAAAAAGGACAAATACTCCACAAGACCCTCCAGGCTCTGCTTGACATTGGGGAATTTCCCAGCCACGAGCAAAGGAGCATTTGCTCCTCTGCAGTGACACCGTGGCCAGTGGGGTAGCTGGGTGACACAGGACACAGTGCACTGCAGGTGCAAGAGGTCCAGGCACCCCACAGGCCCCGTGCTGGTACTCACACCCAGCTCCACCTGTGCATCAGCTGATTGCCACAAACCCAGCCCCAGGCTCACCTGCCATCAAGGGAATCCAAACTCTTCTCCTTGTGAGATGCCTCCAGCTTGTCACGGCCATGCATGGGCTCAGGGCTCTTCAGGGGAGCTGCTTTTTCATGCATTGGCTTGGTGCTGCAAGGAGAAGTCTGTTAGTCCACAAGAAGAAGGGTGAGAGGAGGGAGATGCTAGTTTTAGAGCTGTAAATCCATAGCCTTCAAGCTCCTATCTGCACAGAGACCTTCATAATTCTGCCACTCAAGGGCAGCAATAGCGTTTCTGTGATTTCTCGAGTCACGCAGAGAATAAGGGGCATCTCTTGCCAGGCACTCCCCAGCACTCACAACCGAACAGCCAAGAAACGAAGTCTCCATCTCCACTGGCTTACGGGAAAACTAACAGCAGGGAAGAAGTGGGCTGGCTGGTCAGCGACTGTTCAAACAAATGCTTATCTAGAAGTGGCCTTTATAACCGTCACGTGGACCAGAAGCTCAGATAACACTCACCAAAGCTGGGATGAGGCAGGACAGAGCCTCCCACTGAGGCCGCGGTGCTCAAGAGAACGGCCACGGAGAGGTGGTCCGCAGCTGGCATGGGAAAAGCACAGATCTACGAGACTCGCTGGGGCAACGGTGATTTACACCAGGAGGGCCTGCCCTGTGTTTCACACGCAGCAGTCTTCTCCCTGCCTCCGGGTCAGCACACCCCGTCCCAGCAGATTTGGTCCCCCCTCTGCCCCGTGCATCGCTCTCCCTCCGAGACAGAGCTCTTTGGAGCGAGAGGCTCGCTTGCTCGAGAACGGCAGGACACCGGCAGTCTGGGATGGTCCCAGCTCTGCTCTGGGGACGTATATTCTCCTGCCTAAGATCTGCCAAGACTTACCATCCTCCAGCAACACCCGTTTCCCCTACTGCCCCAGCTCCCTTCCCAGGCAGGAGGCAAGAGCAAAACAGCCTGCCGCCTTGCCTTGCCAGGGCAGAACCCTTCCCAGAGACACCTGCTCCCTTCTTTAAGCTCTCGCTGCTCGTTAAAGCCTGTTATTTACTACAATGAGTTTTATCGGACACACTTATCAGATACACACGTAAAGTAAACACACTCCCAGCGCTGCGCAGAGAAGGTTATCGCCTGGCAGGGCCAGAAAGGTGACACTTCCGCTCTGTGCAAACTGCAACTGGATATTGCTTTAGCCTTTGCATTTCTGGCACCGGGAAACCGATCCACGGCGGCAGACAGTCGAGAGCAAAACCAGAGCGCTAACACAGGGGATCGCACGCGAACGAGGCAAGAGACGCTGGACCACAGGCACTTGCCACTTCGCTCTGGGCAGCGAGCAGCAGCCGGGGTCCAACACGGCCCTGGCGAAACTAAGACGGGGCTTCCCG